CCATGGCAAAAACTTGTGACCCCAAATATTACTGGTCTGAGTACACAAACTCCGTTAATAACCCTAAAAACACAGGCTTTTTAACAATCTAAACAGTTTGTACACAAATATACATACTTATTTATACTTATTTTGTGGTTTTATAATAGTTATAGGGAAAATATTACATCAGCAATTATTTTATTACCCTTTAAATTGATTTCTGGAGATTATCCAAGGTGCTTCATGACCCATAATTGGGTCCCAAGCCCAGCTTTGGGAACCAAATTGCAGTGGTTCCCAAACCTTTCAGCTTTTGACCCACAAAATAACAGTAGCAGAGACCTGTTCCCCCAGCTAATTTTGGATGATAAACATTTGTATCAGGTCAACTAAACATGAGCAAAGTAGCAATAATTTTTATTCGACATTTATCCATTTTAAATACACTAACCTCACTCCTTTGTAACAACTAAGGCAAAAATGTAATTAATTCTGAAAATCTTTTCAGGACCCCACCTTGATGTTTCAGGACCCCACTTTGGGTCCCGACCCCAACTTTGGGAACCACTGACTTAAGTAATACTCTGACTGAGCTTCTTTTACTTTTATTGGAGTAATATTTGACCGGTAGGATCAGTACTCAACTAATGAAACTGAATACTTTGTCCACCAATGAAATAAAAAAAAGAGTTAATGGTTATAGTGTATTTTAGCTTCAATAACTAAATACTAGTTACAGTTACCACAGTTATGACTGCTGAAGGAAAACATTCAGATTGATAGCTTTATGTAGAGACTACGCTTGTGACTTTACTCCAAAGGGTTCAACAACAGTACTTAGTTTAATTTGAGTTAGGGTTAGGTCTGCATGTTAACAGGTTTAAAAAAAGTTTTATTTTCACGCTATGCGTCAGATGGTAAAAATAAAAACGATTTGTTCTTTACAGCCTTTACAGATACTTGTTCGTATGCCAATTAAGATTCTTGTTCAGTTTCTTTGATGACAACACCCTAAAGAAATACCACAGGCATTCAAAATCATGTTTCTGATTCACAGGTGGAATCTGGGTCAATTATTAACTCCAGTTTGTCAGGTTGTTACCTCCCAGATGTGGGAAGATAAAGTTGTGTTACTGCTTTCCAACGGCACGTTTCTCTTAGATTCACTCTTTTTTTTTTTCAACCTGTAAAAGTATTAGAGATACACATATTAGTATAATTTTTTCTGTGTTTCTCCTACATTAATGCTGACACAGCCCTCAATATTTTTGACACTTATGTGACAGAATATGAGAACACAGCTCTGTGTCTGACACTGGGGACTCTGATGTCAGACAGGAAAATCACAACAAGTGGAAATAAACTCATCAAAGCTTCATCAAATAATATCAATCAAGATAACCTCAGCAGAAACATGAGATTTTAATTTTTGTTTAACCCATTATCATGATCTAAATTATTAACAAATAATGTCAAATGGGCGAAAACATTTAATCATAATAGAAAACTAACACGTCCATCCAGATACAGAGATCACGGCAGTTAGACAAAATGCACAAAACTAAAATAAAATAATGATTGTGTTTTGAATCACTTTCTTAGTGTAAATACTGTATTTGGATTTATTTAAGTTTTTTTTAATCCGCCCCAAAAAGGCAAATTAACCCTGCATGCAGGTAAATCTTTAGCCACAAGGTGGCAGCAAAGCATAGATTTTCAGGCCTGACTTCCATTGATTTCCTCTGAGCTGTTGGCTTTTAGGTCGAAATAACAAACCAAATCAACTGAAACCTTTTTTATTATTATTGTTTCTCTACATTTTCTATCTGTGTTCCAATGTTCTGTCTAACCACAATGAGAATGTGAAAACCCACAAAGAGAGTCGGTTACTAATTATATTTCCTGAGTAAAAAGATAAAAGGCACTAACAACAGACAGTAAAACAGGGCATGTCTTTGTGGTTTATTGTTACTAGATAGAACATTATGATCAATTGATGCAATTAACTCTGACATCATAAGGCAAAGTGAAGACACTGCTATATCAGACTGATAAAAATAGTATTACAGTATATAAAAAGTGCAACAACAAACTGCTTTATCATCCTTTAAGTGAGGAAAATCCTTCATCACACTCAGGAAATAAAAACAAGAAGTTGATGCTTTTAGTCTGTTAAAAATCCTCAAATTCTTTATGTAAAAACACTTTAGGGTCATCACACTAGCTCTTGTTTCATTTGTTAATTCTCTTTTTTATCATTCGTCTTGTTCTCCATGTTTTCTTAACTGGTCGTTTGACTTTCAGCTGCCTCATCATAACAAAGTCAGTTTGTCACCACCAGGCCACACAGTGTAGAAAGCTATATAAAGCATATAAAATATGCTAAATTGACACACAAATTAATCTTCGATTGGAAAAACTAAGATGTCGACTTTGTATACGGGGATTTTTTTCTGTAAAAACAGGAAAGTTATTTTCAAATGTTGATTATTCTGTTTAAAATTTGATAAATCAATGTTTAGTTATAAGTGCTTTTGCTAGTGTCTGAGGTTAGCATAGCTATTATTCAATGAGAGAGTTGTAGGTTCGATTCCACCACTATAAGTCACATGTTGAAGTGTCCTCTGCAAGATTTAAGCACTATAGTCTCCAAAGAATGATTTTCCAGATTAGATTTAGACTGCAGAAAGAATGTGAGTGTAAACGATTAGATAAGGGCACAGTTTGTGTTGTAAAGTGCTTTGGAAAAAAAATAAAGATATTTAAATACATTTCATTTAGTTTTGAAAATTTGCCCAAGTGCACAAGGATGAGGAAATGTTTGTTTCCATTCTGACTAGTATATTACTACAAGAAGAAAATGACTTATTGTTATCCAAGAAATTTAAAATAGCGTTCTTTTCTTAGGCTGGTCTCCCCAAAAGAGAAGAAAATTACAAATAAATGACATTTAATCTTATAATTACTGCTCCTTCTGCTTTTATTGCGAGTCAAACCAAAACATTTTGTGTTGATTCTCTGGAAAAGCCTCCAGAATGTTTTCAAAGTGGGGCCAGACGGGGACCACTGATAAACTTGGGGCCATTTGAAACCCCTGCCATTTTGCCATAAAATGCCAAATTATYTTGGCAGCACYATGGATCAGTGGTTAGCYTTGATGTCTCTCAGCYAGAAGTTCCTGGGTTTAATCCCTGGTTTGGACCTGGGGTCTTTCTGTGCAGAGTTTGTTTGTTCTCTTCATATTTGTGTGGGTTTATTCCAGGTACTCCAGTTTCCTCCCAAAGACCAAAAACATGCAGAAGTTATCTTCAGGCCCATGCCTCCATTACAAAAGAGATCTGTGATATCAGTGGGATTTGTCTGGTTCAATAAATAAATAAATATAAAGGCTGTTGTCTTGGACAAATAAATTATCCTTTAAGGTCCTACTTTTATGTACCTTAAAATGTCATCATGTTTTATGGTTTTAATTTTTATCTTCTGTTTTCTCTCTGACAAAGTGTTTTAAGATCAGGATAATATCATTCTCTCCTTGGCCCAGTTTTAGCACCAAGAGAGATGTTTATTGTCTGTCTGGAAAACATACTGTATAAATGTGTGTATTTGAAACTGCCTCAGTGCACACATTTTGTACCACTGTCCTGTGTGACATGATGTGTGTCTTGCAAGTTGCAATGAATCCCATTGACCATTTTCACAGAGATCTTTTTATTCTTGGGACTCGTGTTTCTGTCTAGGTAAAATAAAGATTTCCACAACAGCTATTACAAAAACACTGCAAAGTTATTGTGTGGTTGTATAGTTAATTATGCATACAGCCTCCAAGGACCATGCATGTAGTTTTTATCTTTTTTCCAACTTTAAAACATTTATTTTTTGATGACTGAGCAGCTGCAGTAGCTTGGAGGTCAGTGTTGTGGTCCCATACCCCTGAGGTTGTAGGTGCAATTCCAGATTGGATCAGGAATAAAATCCAGCCTGAAGCATGAAATAATTGCCAAATCATTCCTGCTGTGGTGAGATATGAGTGTACAAATTATTTCTAAACAATGTTCCTTAAGGTACTTCTACTATTCCCATAAAAAGATTGGGATTAGACCAAACAGCTTCAGGATAAAACTGTCTGACCYGGAGGAGCCAGTATGGTGCCCCTTTGTTCCACCAGTTTAAATTCAAGCTGCATTTCAAGGTTTTAACACAAATATGACKTTTCATTCTGCTGAAGCTCATAATCTTTACTAGAGTTTTTATGAACTTTTCCTTATTTGTTGATAACTGAGCCTCTGTTATTAGCAACTTTGATAAGAAGATATCTCTTGTTCGATTGTGTCTCATAAAGCCAACGCCTACAATTTTAGTAAAAAGAAGTCTGAAACAACTCATTCAGCCTTTTGAGCAGATCGATGCTCAGCTGGTCTAAAGGTCGGAGACTGAAACCTTTGTATTAGTTACTTTACAGTTTATCATTCATCAGTAAACAATTACGAAACACGTGTGTATTCTGGAGAAGTGACTTTTTCATCTGCTTTTCAGAACAGAACTGCAGAGTTTTCGTGTCACGGCACCATTTAATTACAAATCTGACATGAGTGGATTAAAGGATTAGAGTCTCAGCAGATTTTTGTGATGTATTCCAGAGTTTCTGAAAGAAGTTTTGATCTAAAAGTGAAACAGATTAAAGTTGTTGTACATGTCCTGGAGATWATTATTCTTTGTTAGTGTATTTCCTTTTCCTCCATACTGTACGTTTCATGCAAATAATGAATCTAAAGGTGACCTTTAATTCAGCATCCATCAAACAACCTGATAAATTTAATCAGAAAATAATCTATAATCTTTGTTTGTTTGTTTGTTTTGGTGTTGCAATATTTAAGAATTAAAATTACCAAATGATTGCATTTAGTCTTTCATTAAAGATTAACCTAACCTACAAACAGGTCTGAGTGGTTTAAGCCCCGCCCCTTGAGTGGATTAGCCAATAGGAATGCGCGGTCAGCTCTCACCCTTCCCCGTTGCCTCTTCATTGACCGCGAGGAAGTTTCTCCTGACATTCAGCGAGGCGGCTTTTGAACAGATTAATGTGACTTAAAACAAAATATAAATAAAATAAAACATAAACTGCGCGAAAATGTCCGATTCGGAGCTGCTTCCTGACGACGAGGAGAGGGAATTTCAAAAGGTTGTGGCTCAAATCGGAGGAAAGGAGCGGATTTGTCTGGTCGGTGATGCCTGCAGCGAAAAGAAGGTGGACGGAGGTGACGTGGGGATATTCCAGGAGTTCATCCGCGATATGTTTCACAACAGCAGCACCGCGATCGGGAAAGGACAGCTCTGTGAATGCACCGGCGACAATGTGTGCGAACAGCCAGATGCCGGTGGACGCAATGAGATCCCTTTAACAGCGAGGGGCGAAGGRTCGGCTGCGGAGGGAGACGGAGACGAGAAGAAGCGATCAGTTCGCAAAACTCAAAAAACGGCGACGAAAAGGGCGAATATTTACAGCGCCAAGCGAGCGATAGACTCCCCCGTCATCGTATTCATATTCAGACAGTCGTTCGTCAGCAAAGCTTCAAACGAGGTGTGCTTGAAAGAGATTCTGAAGGACGTAAAGGCACGCACGAGACGTACCTCGGTTCCCCGGCCGCCGGCTCTGATTGGATTAATACGCGCCACGCAGGACAGCGCAGAGGCGCGTCAGTGCGCGCGGGTCCTGGAGAGTCTGCTGCGCTCTGTTTTCCACAAGCAATCACCAGAAACCATTTGGGTGGACTGTTTCATCCCCGASACGGAGGCCAAAATACTGAGCGTCAAGAAAAACGCCCGCAAAGCTGTTTACGCGTCTCAAACTGCAGGTGCAGCAACCATCTCCATCTTCACTCAGCCTGTTTGTTCAGAAAACTTTATCTGTGTGGTTAGAACCTTGGTTCATGGTAAATTGTGTGTGGGTAATGACAAGTGAATTTTAACATGTAGGTCATGTGACATTCACAAGACCACACATTTTTACCCTCCTTTCCCCCCACTGCCTATAGATTCCCAAAGTCCTTAGAACAAAGGGAGCATTCATGAGACAATCAGGCGCTTAGATACACTGCCAAGCTGCTAAATGCTTGTTATTGCCTTTCAGATAATACTGGGGACAGAGGGAACCGGTCTTTGTGGCTGTTCGGATGTTGCTTCAGACCTCAGAGAAGAGAAGCCAGAGGCCAGACCAACAACTCCACAAACTGCAGCCAGAAAGGTAGGAAAGTTCAGTCTGACTGAGCTGGACTCAAGCATTTTCATAGGATTTTTCTTTCTTTCTTTTTTAGGAATATTTGTAGGTCATTAGTTGACATACTGTATTTCAAGACTTTACTGCATATTTTGGGCAACAACAGTGTTTTTAAGTAGATCCTAARATGATTCTATGCATAAATCCAGAAAGATCTGCTGACTTTGTATGCCAGTTCTAATAACACACAAGACAATAAGGATGATTTTATCACAAGCAATTCATTTCAGTTTATCTATTTGTCGCCAAGTCACAACAAACGGCACTGTACAAAAAAATCAAACTAAGAAAGGCAGCAGATGAAATTACTCCGTTGCAGCCTCTCATCCTGAGCAGCACATTGGTGACGGGGGGAAGGAAAAACTCTCTTTTAACAGGAAAAAACCTCCGTCAGAACCAGGCTCGGGACGAGCGGCCAACTGCCTCGWCCYGCTGGGTTTGASSGGACAGAAAAAGAGACACAGACAAACACAGAATGACTGAATCCAGGTTTATTTTCCACTGGAAGAGAGACAAAAAATATGTTATTGATAGAAATAATTGCAACAACAAACATGTAAGAGACAGACTAAAAACAGCAGCAGAGTGAAGAAATGTGGTCAGTTTGTCCTCCGGTAAGCAGCAGAAATAAAGCACAACTCAAGAAACCAACCATAAATATAAGGTTTATCAAAAAAAGAAAGTCTTATTGCAAGCAGCAGTGTTAAAAGGGAGAATTCTGCTGTCACTGTTTGTGTATAAACWAGCACAAAAAGTAAGGAAATTTGTGTTGGATTAGAATTTTTTTGTAGCAATGCTTCTTGTACCATAGATCTTATATAGAAAGCCTGTTAAATTCCCTTTTAAATGGTGCAACATTTGTAAGGAACATGCATTTGTGGGACGAGCAGTAGAGCTGAGTAGGTTACGCACATGAAAAATTCTTCCGAACAGCTTATTTTGTTATTTCTATTGACACTTGTTTTGAGTTTCTGGTACCCCCAGGTGCTGCAGGTGCCCAGTATAAGATTTATTGCCAAGAAACATTAGTATATACACTCACCGGCCACTTTATTAGGTACACTACGCTAGTAACGGGTTGGACCCCCTTTTGCCTTCAGAACTGCCTCAATTCTTCGTGGCATAGATTCAACAAGGTGCTGGAAGCATTCCTCAGAGATTTTGGTCCATATTGACATGATGGCATCACACAGTTGCCGCAGATTTGTCGGCTGCACATCCATGATGCGAATCTCCCGTTCCACCACATCCCAAAGATGCTCTATTGGATTGAGATCTGGTGACTGTGGAGGCCGTTTGAGTATAGTGAACTCATTGTCATGTTCAAGAAACCAGTCTGAGATGATTCCAGCTTTATGACATGGCGCATTATCCTGCTGAAAGTAGCCATCAGATGTTGGGTAAATTGTTGTCATAAAGGGAAGGACATGGTCAGCAACAATACTCAGGTAGGCTGTGGCATTGCAACGATGCTCAATTGGTACCAAGGGGCCCATAGAGTGCCAAGAAAAGATTCCCCACACCATGACACCACCACTACCAACCTGAACCGTTGATACAAGGCAGGATGGATCCATGCTTTCATGTTGTTGACGCCAAATTCTGACCCTACCATCCGAATGTTGCAGCAGAAATCGAGACTCATCAGACTAGGCAACGTTTTTCCAATCTTCTCTTGTCCAATTTCGATGAGCTTGTGCAAATTGTAGCCTCAGTTTCCTGTTCTTAGCTGAAAGGAGTGGCACCCGGTGTGGTCTTCTGCTGCTGAAGCCCATCTGCCTCAAAGTTCGACGTACTGTGCGTTCAGAGATGCTCTTCTGCCTACCTTGGTTGTAACGGGTGGTTATTTGAGTCACTGTTGCCTTTCTATCAGCTCGAACCAGTCTGCCCATTCTCCTCTGACCTCTGGCATCAACAAGGCATTTCCGCCCACAGGACTGCCGCTCACTGGATGTTTTTTCTTTTTCGGACCATTCTCTGTAAACCCTAGAGATGGTTGTGCGTGAAAATCCCAGTAGATCAGCAGTTTCTGAAATACTCAGACCAGCCCTTCTGGCACCAACAACCATGCCACGTTCAAAYGCACTCAAATCACCTTTCTTCCCCATACTGATGCTCGGTTTGAACTGCAGGAGATTGTCTTGACCATGTCTACATGCCTAAATGCACTGAGTTGCCGCCATGTGATTGGCTGATTAGAAATTAAGTGTTAACGAGCAGTTGGACAGGTGTACCTAATAAAGTGGCCYGTGAGTGTATTTCTCCTATTTATATTCTTTAGATTGATGAATATGATTAGGTTAAGCATAATTAAATGAAGAAAAAGCTTCTTAACTGCAACTTGTGTCCAAATCCAGCTGTTCTCATCTTGTCTAAAACTGTATCACTGTACTCAAACTCAAGTTCCATTTTAAATCAGTGTTTCAAACATTTCAGGTGAAGCTGGAAATGAAGAAGAAGGCCTCCCTCTGAAAACTACAGTCTCCACTGCTGAGCCTCGTGAAAAGGTTGGCCACTAATGATGGAACATGTGACTGACTGTGGGCCTACCACTGAGGAAAAACCTGTTTTCTCTATGAAAACAAAAACAAAGTGATGTAATGATGTTACACAACCTGATTGCACTGTTTTATGGTGCAAAAATTCCTAATGAGCCAAAAAAAAAAAAAAACACCTTTGTCCTGAAAATTGCAGACTAATAACACTAACTTTCCTCAGGTTCTGCAGGCAGACATTTGAATATTACTTTACTACAAATTTTACTTGTACTGTATGGGTAGATGCTAGGTGTAATTTAAAATGCCTTAAATGCTTTACTACTGTACCTGGCCATGAAGTGTGTTTTTAAAAAACTAGTTTGTTTTAACGGTTTTATACATTTACTTTAATAATATCTTTTAGTTTGTTGAAGTATTTGAGACTATTATTTACACGGATATGAACACGTTCTGCCTCACAGAAAACTTTAGTTACTACAGATCCTCGAGTCTGTTTAAGATTTTCAAGAAATGTATTTTTTTATGTATTACTGACATTTATTATAATCTTGAGCCTTAGTTGAGTATTGCTCAATGAAGCATTGTTTCTCACAGAAATGTACTTGCAAACACTTGTAACTCTTGAAGTATTTATTTAGAATGTTACTCTGTCCATCCATTTAAATAAACCGTTTTAACATGGATGTGTGTGCTGTTCTATTTTTAAATAAATCTCATTTTTGTTTTTATAACAAAATTTGATTGAAATTTGAAAATTTGATTTACCTTAGAAAATGTATGCACTATTACATTGTTAATTAACATTGTGTTCTTTGATTAATATTACAGTATAGCATAAA